CCACGTCCCTCATAAGTCCAATAATTCGATCCGACACCCCAACCATGGCGACCGAGAAGCGTTCCTCAACAATCCTGGAAGAAGATGCAGATTCCATGGCCGTACGGCCTCTTACTCCGTCAGCGGCCGACTTCACACCTGGCCATCGTCGTAGTTTAACACCCCCCGACCCGCAGAATAGTCCAGCGAGGCGCACGGTGATTACTCCCGGGGAGTCTATGGTCAGGCCTGAATCTGCCGATACATCCGAAGTTCTACCGACCGAAAATGAAACGCACGATGTGGATAGCGCGCAAGACAAACGAGAGATTAATATCCCGCATACTGATTCAACGACTGGAGCTGAAAGCGAAGTGAAGCCTGACCCATACCGTCAGAGCGACGTGCCTCAATATCCAGGGGTTCAGCAGGGGAACACCACACTACCGAAGGTTGATACTCGTGCTGAATCTGCACAGCCAGTGGAGTCAGTTTCAGCCTCCACTGCCCGTAGTGGAAATGTAAATGAGCTAAATGACCGACTAAGGGATGAAATCATTCAATCGCTACGTTCCACTCAGGCGGAAGAACCTATATCAGAAGATGGAAGTTCAGGCCAGGACGCTAGATCTCGCATCCGACATGAAAGTACTTCAATCCCCAGTATATATGATAGTTATTGGAATGAGCAAGCAGGCCTCAGTTCTTCCAGCGGCGCTATGTCTCAGCCAAACCTTCCCGAGCAGGTTCGCAATTCCGTTGCAGCAGAAACGAGCTCTGGCCATACCAAACCACACGAGGGATCAGACGTACTTGCTCCTCCGGGGAACAGTATTGACGCTACGCCTATTCCCACACGTCCTCGGCTGAAAAAGAAATTCTCATGGGAAATGGATTCTGAAGAAGATTTATCGGCTGCATTCTCTTCTAAACCCAATCCAATTGAATCCCAGCCCACGACCGACCCGCCCACCAATACCACCGTTACTCCGCCAGATACCATTCGAAGGGTAGAAGACACACAGCAGTCTTCTCCGCATGGCCCGATGTCCGAGAAAGCCAGTAAAGACTCTCCGACCACCGGCCTCGCTCGCACTGCAACACCTTCAGCCGAGAGCATCCAGTCAGAGCTAGAACCGAAGCCAAGTAGTCCCATGGAAACCTTGGCCGTGGAGTCCCGAGGTGAAGAGATCGATATACCGTTGAAAAACGTGCCTGAACATGAACTTCCTGGAACAAATGCTAACACACACGCCGCCGATGGCAGCAAACTTCTTGGTTTTCGCGAGGTTATGGCCATGTCAACACCTGGCCAAAAGATCGCTGCTTTTAACCGCACAAGAGACCAGTTTGCTGTGGCAGATACAGGTCTCCAGGACTGGCTAATGCATGCCGCCATGAGCCTCCCCGAGCATGCTGATCTGGTCCAACAAAACGGCGCCCTGCCATTGGGGTCCAATCCATCGCACAGGCCGATGCCGTCCCGTACGAAGTTCCCGAAGTTGTCATCTGGTTCCGGATCATCCCGCACACATATGAGAAATGCATCCAGCACCCCTTTGAGCAGCATGATACACTCTCAGCAGGTGCAAGCTAAGGGCAAAGATCTGTTGCACAGTGCTGGAGTTTTGGGTGGGAAAGCAGGCGACGCGGCAAAGGGTCTTTTTGCGAAAGGGAGAAGCAGATTTCGCCACAGTGGGAGTGCAGACAAGGTAGATATCTAAATCTATTTCCATATGATCTCCGCGAATCGTTTGTGCGTACCTATTTATCATACCCCGGGAATATTTTGACTTCAGACAATGTTGGCCACTTTTCAGCTTTCATCTTTGTATACTTCTCCTATGAAATTGTAATGAAAGGACAGCTTAATGGGAATGGAATAACATTTCGGCAGATTCACAATAACTTGTTCCTTTTTTCCCCCCTCTTCAATCCCCGGCTGATCGGACGAAATTTGTTCGACAAATCTAATAGCGCATCTTTTTGTGTAGGATTTCGGCGAAGGGGAATCGATTAGAGCACCTAACGCGCGCCAAACCTCCATCTCTTCTGATCCTAGTTGCTCCAACAATGCGCAAGGCAGCTATCGGCCAGAGGTGGAAGTCCCGCGAATAAGGTCTCTTAGACTGGACCAATCTCCGTTGGATGTTTCCTTCGGATATAGGTTACCTGTGAGAAGACTTTCAATACAGTCTTTACCTGAAGATACGCGAGCGCCGGTACTTTTGCGTGATGGAAAGATTCGGTCTACGTCAAGCCCGGCACAGGAGCGCAATGCCCACGGATTTGAAGATGACGATCATAATCGGTTTCCCTCCCAGAAGACCCAAAAACAGGTTCTTCCCAGCAACCAGTGTGTCAAGGACTATGCATCTGCTGGGGAACCGTTGGATGAGGAGAGTCTGGTCTCTCAGTTTGGGCCGCGGTCGGCAACGTCTCCTACCCCTGACAGTGAGACTAACGCAATTATGCCAACGGCGGACGACCAAACATCTCTTGACGAAGATGAAACTGAGAGCGCTGGGGCCCAGGATTTAGACCCACGCATCAATACACTGGGTGGTAAGGATGTTTCTGTCTCAATCGTGTCAACAGAACTCGCTCGAACGGAATCGCTGAGTGAGGTTGGAGATTCCGGCAACGTCTCCATCAATAGACTGAGCAAGTCGTCTGTCAAAAGCGAGGCTGAGCAAGTATTGGTCCTGACCCCGAACGGCCTTGAATTGCTTTCGGGTTCGCCGCCTGTTAGCGAGCTCGGAGAGAGGGCGGGCGATGTGCACTCGCGCGATTTCGCTTTGAGTAAGCCCCCCAGCCTAAGCTCGCCTGATAGCATTATCGCGCGGGAGACTGAGGAGCAAATTATTTCCCGCAAATCCTCCTTCGAGCTGGCGGGCGTTCGTGATGCTGAACTTCGGGTCTCTGAGAGGTGTGGAGGCTATCCGGCGCTCTCTGACCCTGAATTGTTGAGGAATCCGCACCATCAGCTATCTTCGATAAAAGTGGCAGTCCGCCATGCAAATAAAACCTCACTTGATTCAAGCTCTACGAGGTCTACTAATGTTACCACTGTTTCACATGCAAGATACCTTTCAGTGCCGACAACTCATCCGGCGCATCAAAGGTTCAGTACAACGAAAACTGCGAATGAGCTGAATGACTACGCTACACCAGATGTTGTCCAAACACAATACCAGAGGAATAAGCTTCCGTTTTTTCAGACTCCTGGGGTTGATGGTGCTCCATCTAATGACAGCCAGTCGACCTCTCCGAACGCGCCCAAAGTGAGCACCGTCCAACAAACCAAAACGGCAGGACTTGCTACCAGATTGCCGGGCGTAGATGAGGGATCGTTACCACTCTCAGTCCAGAGACCTCGCTCTCGGCTGTCTACGTTCCTTTCCAGATTTGGGAGTACTCACTCTAAGGTGACCCATTCACCGCCAGCTCAAATCCAGCAGCAGAGTGGGATCCCAGATCGCCCAGTTGAGAACAAACCTTTGGAAGGAGGAAGTAAACGTGGTCCCCAGCACAATATCTCTACTGGTGGCACTGTTGATGGCGGAAACCCAGCAGATTCAGAGGTTATGAAGGCAAAGAAAGGCCTCAAATTCCTCAGCCGTCGTAGTTATAATGTTCATACGGAGCCGCCTAAGAAATCTACCTCTCTGGGAATTGTATGTTTATCCTACTTCACCTTTTACCGCATCTGATATGCTAACGGCTCTTAGAAGACCGCCGACCAATTACCAAAGCCGCAGAGATTGGCGTTACAAGCTCGTCCGCCACTCCCAAGGGTCGCAACAATGTCGCCGGCCCAAAATAACCCTGGGAACGTAAACTCGGCCAATACGAGACGTTTTTATAGATCATTGAACACCCAGCTATCGAACATCATCGACCATCCAGTTTCGGGAACGGGCGTGAACCCGCCTTCAAAGACGAGTTTACAAACTCGTCTCTCCCACAATCGAAACATCAGCCAACCAGCCACTACAGCCCGGTACTCTGTGGGCGGACATCCAGCTCGGAGTGAGTTTTCCGCTTATTCAGTCGGCTCCCAGCCCGAATATTTCAAGGCCCACTCACAAGGCATATCTACTTTTATACCGGGGTTTCCGTTTCAATCTCCGCATCTATTTGTAGAGCAAACGAAGCAGCAAACTGGGCAACCACGAGGTTTGCAGGCTCTCCAAGCCCCAAGTATTCATCAGGGTGCCATGACGAAGCCCACATCGTTAGTGAGGCAGGCAGCGCTAGCTACGGAATTCTCGGAATCTACATTATCAGAGTCGCGGGGGCCTCAAACCCTTCAGCATGGAGCTGGTTTACCGCCGCCACGGCCACCGCCTAAAATCCCTCTTGATTATGCATATCCTTCTCTCGCTGCACCTACTTCTATACGTATCACTTCTGCCTCAGGGCGCCAACACCAGGAGGGCGCAGGTTCCTTAGGTAGCACCCCCGCGTTGCATACAACCGATTTTTTCCAGCCACGACAACCTCTTTTGGCTCGTGAAGAGGCACATAACGGACCAGTTGAGCTCCCTACCCATGACGATTCGAGTGAAGAAGTCGTGATGTCTAGCGTTTCCTACCCTGGTCAAGAATGGCAGCCCAGCTCCTTTGGAAATTGGGATTAGCTATCTATGCCTGTGCTTGCAGGAACTGAAAGAACTCCTAGCCATGCATTTGCTACTTGGTTTACTTTCAAAACTAGACATACTTGATTATTTGTTCATAATGTTTTCTAACTGCTATATACCCAATACCCCGTACACTAGAGTGTATTTTCATTTTTGAATTTCTTTCACCTACTATAGATTTAACTTCAGATATTCGAATGTGAAATCTGTTTGGTCCATCATATGTCACTATTTGCTCCCCCTTTCACTTTCTTTTGGCTGGAGATATGCCACATTTCAAGCTGGATGATCACTTGAAAATATGCAATAAAAAGTATTTTCATTGTTCAACACCATTGCCAGAGATGAGGCACTAAATGGGCTCATAGTGGTTAGGAAATAAGGGCCCATTGCTGTCATTGCATTTGAATGCTACACTCTCGCCTCTTCCTATGTTCCTAGATCCCCACAGACAGGGATTGATGCACTGATGCAAAGTCATAATGCAATTGAGGACTTTTAGAATTTGCTTGGTCTCTTATTTCTAATGCCACACCTGGTAACCCACTGGTCAACCTCCGCGTCGAGGACGTCGGCAGGTTAGAACATAGTCTTCTCTGAGAGTTTCTTGCCGATTTCCCATCGCATGCCATGGTTGGGAAAATCAATGACTTTGTGATTGAAAGAATCACCAATCCACGTCACCCAGTGTCTCGACATTGAACAGTCAACGACGAGGACCTGGCTAGTGGTTCATTTAGTTCGTTAACTAGGCCCGGCCCGCTGCGGCCCAAGCTCGCCACAACAAACATGCCCGACGCGCCGACGCGAAGTCTCCCCAGCATTCCGCGATCCATTTCCTCAAACCCACTCAGCTTTTCTGACTTCATATTAAGCTGAAAACCTCTTCTTTGCCTACATTTGCCAATAGGACTTCTTGATGCCACGCGCGAAAAGGAATTTAGGCGAACGCCCAATTTCGAGCGATGTCATTTTACCGATGCAAGACCCTTACATGACCCAGATTACTGATGGGAGGAAGAACCATGAGTTCCGGAAATATCGCCTCAAACCATGCGTGAAAAGAATCTGGTTCTATCGAACAGCTCCGCACTCTAGCATCACCCATGTCTGCGAGACTCTGCCCGCGCGGACACGAAATCCCGGAGATCTTCCGCTCGACGAGGATGGCCTGGGCAATGTCGAATTTAACAATAGGCATAAGGACTGGAATGGCTACGATTTCGCCTACAAGATCGTCACTGTCTACGAGCTCAGGCGGCCGATATCTCTCAAGGAGATAAAGGACAAGCATGGTTTCAAGTCGGCACCAAGGGGACTGGTCTACCTACCCGATTCGATCAGCAACAGTGTTAACTGGAAGCAACAGAAGCTCGTAAAAAATTTGACCCTGATCCTTTACTTGCGTGTTGGCTAACATGAAGGAAGTTGATCAATCGAAGGAAGCAAACATCAGTGGCTTAAGATATATTGTGGGAAGTTAGAAGGGCCCGACATTATCCTGTCTTCCCGTCAAGACGCCATCATGACAAAAGTCGATGCTTCCTGCCTGAGCCATATGATGAGGCAGCCCGCTTCATCCGCGGCTGATCCCCTTGGGTTAATATCGATCAGCATGCCCAAATCGCTGTCCGCAACAACCAGCGCTTGTAAATCGGCCCGCTCCGGCCTAAGGAGCTTTTGATACAAATATCTGAAGCTGCTGTGTTTGACTTCGTTCTCGAAGAAGGAGATTGACGACAGCCAGCGACTAGTAGAAGGCGGGCTGAGATGTATGGGGAATTTGATAGACTGCGCGTGGAGGGAAGGATGGCTGGGTCTCGCATGACGAGTATGATGAATGCCTGAGAAGGTGGGAAAGTAAGCGGGCCGCTTCAGAAATACACCAACAACGACTTGAAAAGCTGTTATCGGACCCGTATTCAGTTGCTACTGGTAACGTTGCTGCCTTGGGTTGCGACACAGGTAAATAATGGCTAAAATTCCAAGCTTCGTTCCACTCCGTCTTTTCCTGCTCTCTACCTACTACTTACTAAGGCGGGAAATACCTAGTCTCATATGCATGCCCCCTGGCCCGTGCCTCATGCTGCCGTCTCGCCCACTCGTACCCGGCCCTCAACTCGTCTGTCAGCGGCACGATGCAACTCGGCCGGTCGAACATGGCAGGGGGTTCGATGCGCGAGAACTCGTCACGGAAGATGTGGCGGGCCCGGAGGTCGTTGCGGTGGACGGTGAGGGCGTCGGCGTTTTGGGCAGCGGAAAACGGGAGGGGTTGGAGGAGAGCGAGCTGGGATGGGGAAAGCTGAAAGACAGAAGCTCCGGCTTGCTGGGGGGGATGGATGAAGGGCTATACCTTTCATGACAGGATTCTATTGCCTTCGCTTAAAAGCACCCCATCCGACTCGTCATGCTCATGCTCGAACAAGACTACTCCGCCAAAAATCTGCGTCTCGGCCCGGTAACCAACCGTATCGGCGAGGCCCTATGGATAGCGCGTGGCGCCGCGATATAGCCGATGGTACAAATCAACAGTGGAGTGGGGGTGTTGGCTGAAGCCCGGATTGGTTGGGCGGATGTCGATGTCGAGATGGGCAGTGGTGTATAAGCTTGCTGCGAGGGCGTGGATGGTGAGGGCGGCTATCTCGAGAAGATGGAGATTGAAGTCGCTGGACGTTGAGGGTGATGTGTTTATTATTATTATTATTATTATTATTATTCATTATAGTCTTATGCAGTCAGAGACTATGAAGACTATCTATATAGTAAAAACATGGTGTTGGACCCACCCAAAAATTGAGATATTTGCATAATTCTTTTTAACAGTAGATAGAGCTGATTTTGAGAATTCTAAAACTACTTTTCAATTATTTTTATCTATTTTTGTTGAATTGATATTGAATTTTGAAGTGTTGTGATGTCCATTGGCTGAATGGTCTGATAAATCAAATTGGAGTTAGTGTGAGATGATGCTAACTCTGGTTTGATTTATTGAATCATCATCAAAAAATTCTGAATGCTCACTCATCATCTCTTTAAAGTCTTTCATAATCTATTGAAGTGATCCACAACATGTAAATAATTTCTTCTATTAATATCACTTGAGTTGAATGTCTCAGTTGTTCTGTATATTGCTACAAAATTATGCAGTACAGTCATTCTCACAGATATTGATTGACATTTGCTCAAGTCATGCTAAATCTGATTTAATTTATTGAATTATCATTAAAACAGCTGCAATGCTCTCTCATTATTTTTTTAAAGTCTTTCATAATCTATCAGAGTGATCTATAATATGTAAATAATTTCTTTTATTAATATTATTTGAGTTGGATATCTCAGTTGTTCTGTGTGTTGCTATAAAGTTATGCAGTACAGTCATTCTCACAGATGTTGATTGACATTTGCTCAAGTCATGCTAAATCTGATTTAATTTATTAAATCATCACTAGAATAACTGCAATGCTTTCTCATCATCTCTTGAAAGTCTTTCATAGTCTATCAGAATAGTCTACAACATGTAAATAATTTTTTCTAATAATATTGCTTGAGTTGAATGTCTCAGTTGTTCTGTGTGTTGCTATAAAGTTATGCAGTACAGTCATTCTTACAGATGTTGATTAACATTTGCTCAAGTCACATTAAATTTGATTTAATTTATTAAATCATTATCAGAACAGCTGCAATGCTTTCTCATCATTTTTTAAAAATCTTTTATAGTCTATCAGAGTAGTTTATAATATGTAAATAATTTCTTCTATTAATATTACTTGAGTTAGATGCTTCAGTTGTTCTATATGTTGCTATAAAATTATGCAGTACAGCCATTCTTGTGGGTGTTGATTGATATTTATTCAAGTCATGCTAAATCTGATTTAATTTATTAAATCATTGCCACAACAGCTGCAATGCTCTCTCATCAGTCAGTTAAACTGTTTAATACTCTATTGAAGTATTTATGACATGTAAATAATTACTATTATATTAATATCACAGATATTAAATATCTCCATATTTTATTATTATAAAGAAATAACTGTTCTGTATTAGTTATTGAGTTAAGTAACTCAGAAAATATTATATCATCTTACATAAATAATTTAAGTTTAATTGAGAAATATCTCTTGATGAAATAAAACACTTCTCACTATCTTACATAAGATTTCTGATTTAGAGTTCTGATAATGATCCAATAAATCAAATTGAATTTAGTGTGACTTAAGCAAATATCAATCAACACCTGTGAGAATGACTGTATTGCATAACTTTGTAGCAACACACAAAACAATTGAGACATTCAGCTCAAGTGATATTAATAGAAGAAATTATTTACATGTTGTAGACTACTCTGATAAAATATAAAAAACTTTAAAGAAATAATGAGAGAGCATTGCAGCTGTTCTGATGATAATTCAATAAATTAAATTAAAATTAGTGTGACTTGAGCAAATATCAATCAACATCTGCAAGAACAGCTGTATCATATACAACCAGCTGATGAGAAAGTTACAAGTGTAACTGATATTCTGACAATAATCTGATAAATTGAATTTGGGTTAGACATGACTTTCAGTAATGAGAACAGTTATATAACATGAAAATCTGATGTATCATAACTAGAAGATCAGTACTATTCAACAGACTCTTATAAATTAAGAGAATTAGCACCAGCACAGAATTTTTTAAAGAAATATGATTTAAATAAAGTTTCTGTATCAATACTGAAGACTCTCTTGCACTTCTGCTGGCTGAACAGTAAGACAGTGACATCTTCACTCAGCTATTGTTCAGCTGTTGAAGACACTGATTGATCACTAGATGATTTCAAGACTGAAATTATGCTATGCTGCTCAGATGAAATTACTGTATTAATATTAAAGATTCTCTTGTGCTTCTGCTGACTGAACAGTATGTCAACAGCATCTTTACTTGATTGTTATTCAGCTGTCAGAGACACTGACTGAGCATTAAATAATTCTGAAACTGAAATTATGTTATGCTGCTTAGATGAAATTGCTGTATTAATACTGAAGACTCTCTTGTGCTTCTGCTGGCTGAACAGTATACTAACAGCATCTTCACACAGCTGTTGTTTGACTGTTGAAGATACTGATTGAGCACTAAATAATTTCAAGACTAAAATCATACTATACAATTCAGATGAAGTTGCTGTGTCAATACTGAAGATTTTCTTATACTTCTGCTGACTGAACAGTATGATGGTGATATTTCACTCAGCTGTTATTC